ATTTCTGCTATTCTGAGAAAAATTTTCTTTTGTCTAGAAACTTAACTAGTTTTAAAAAGTATCTACATGAACTACAAAGTTCTCAGTAGACCAAAATAACCAAGCTGTTCCCCACTTCAATTTCTGCGCTCGGAAGTTGAACCAAGCTACAGGCTGCAATAATCACTATCGGACTCAGCAGCTCTGTGGAGTCACTGCTGCAAAATCCACATTCGCACCCCACCAGACTCGGAGGAAAGTAGCCAAATAATGAACACCCAGTAGTCTAGCACATACTTTAGCTGGAGATCCCAGAAGACTCAAAAAGAACAGCTTTGGTCTAGTGAACAGGAATAAGCTTTTCTGTAACTAGTATCAGAAACAAGCTATAAACCCAGTGATTTAGTTGGAGGATCTTTGGAGACCCAATTTGTTAAAATTACTTTCTGTGCAAAACACAGAAAGATTACAGTAAGTCTTCCTGTTCATTTACTCCTGTTCAATAAGATGGCAAGAGACATTTTGTGAAAACAAACCAGTTGGTCTTCAAATTGTGCTATTACTCTTACATCACATAATCTTGTTCCTAGAAATTACTAATCATAAATCATCTGCAAAGCATGGAGAAGGAGGAGGAGAAAATGCATTATTCATACAGAATGATTCTTCAGAAGACTGAAGTCTGACAGAACTGTGTTTATACATGAAGATCAAAGAAATAGGAGTCTTCTCCAAAGTGTGGAAAACAAAATTCAGAAGTTACTCCAGACTGAAGGTAGAAAGTTTTGGCCACTCAACCATGACAATAAGGGAATCATGACTCTCCTACAGTGCTAAGTGTTACCAATTCGTAACTGAAAAAATTAAGTTTATTTTGTCTCCTCTTTCATGCACAGGCACTACAGAACGATTTTTTGCCACCCTCTGAAAAGATAACAAGGAACATGCATGTGAAACACATAAGAAAAAAATGGGAACTTCGGTAAATCAAAATATTGCAAAAATAGTATACCTGGACACAGACTAAATGTAAGCTAATTCTCTAACTTTGCCTGTAATATCAAGCCAATGCACCGGTTTCTTCCCATCAGGATACAGAAATATACAACTACTCCCACTCTGCCCACACTGGAAAGATAGAGATATTTATCTCTTCAGGTATACCTTCCAGATATTCACAAAAGAGTGCTGGGAAAAGCATGCATGAAATAAGTAATACATAGTTTTCTGGAAAATACTACATCAAGGCTTAAAAACTTTTTATACTGGAAAAGTAGTTGGCATTAATCAGACTAAAATTAACATGAGTACATCAAGCTTGTTATACAAGTCAAGATGAGTCGCAGGATTTCAGAATCTTGAAGAAGTCTTCTAACTTTTCAGACTTGGTAGGAAACTGAGAAAGAGTATCCCAGCAGTCACCTGCACTTCGAAGGTCCAAAGAGAAACATACTTCACCATGTAAAAAAAAAATATATATATATATATATATACACACATATACATGTATACCTGCATGTCATATACACACATACTATACATATCTGCTTATAAAAAACATGGCTTATTTTTTCTAAAAAGTGTTGTCCTGGTTTGGGCTGGAATAATGTTCCTTTTCGGGTAACTAGAATAGTGCTGTGTTCTAGAATCAGCATTGAGTTTGGTATGAGAAGAATGCTGACAGCACACTGATGTTTTCAGCTGCTACTGAGATTTCAAGGACTCTCCAACTCTCCATGTCCTGCCCGTGCACAAGAAGCAGGGAGGGAGCACAGCCAGAGCACCAGACCCAAACTGGCCATTGAAATATTCTGTGTCATGTAACGTCATGCCCACTATATAGAGGAGGGGTGGTCGGGAAGGAGCTCTCTCTCTCTCTCACTTCCAGGACTGCAATTGTGAGATCTTGGTATTTCGGGATCACGAGCTGGGAACAGGCTGGGTATTGGTCAGCAGGTCATGAGCAATCACATTGTGCACTGCCCGTTTATATTTTCTATTGCTGTCATTGCTTTCATTTTATTACCATTACTAAACTCTTTCTATCTCAACCTGCAAGTCTCCCTTTACCCCTCCAATTCCCTCCCCCATTCCCAGGTAGGGTGGGAGGGTGGGTGAGCAGCTGCAGGGTGGTGGGCTGCCGACCAGGCTCAAACCACAAGTATGTATAAACAACATGATTTCACAAGTAGTCTAAGGAAAAACTGAGTGCTTGTGTGAAGGAATATTATATTCCTACTAGCCACAAGGTGATGCTATTGCACTTATTGAACTCCAACATCTTTTACTATGAAGCAGGTGGCATGCTAAGCACATTCAATAGAGCACACTAGAAACCTACTAGAAAGCAGAGGATTACTTTCCCTCCTTATCTTAGAGACACATTTCAAGAGGTTAAGCTGACTTCATTTCCATGCCTACCTCAGCATTTTCAGAGCTAAATTCAAAATTACAGTTCATGAAGTGCAGCTTTTCCAACGAGGATTTGCATACATGCTTAGTATCTCATTTCTATGTACATATGAAGACCAAAATTAAATCCACTTTATCTAGCTTTCACTTCATAACTCAGAATAGCTATAAAATATTTAAATCAGGCCTGTAAATACACAATGTGAAAGACTGAAACACATCTGAAGTCATAATTTATAAACACAGATCCTTCCCACATTTATCTGACAAGTTAAAATCAACTTTCAAGCAACAACTAAAGCTACCAAGTCCATATTTAACATCTATTTATGTACTTTTTATTTGCTGGAACTTTATACATAAAGCTTATAACTAAGGCAATGGGCAGGTGAACAGCCACAAACTCAAAGTGGGAAAATAGACTGTTTTTACTACTGAAAGCAGGTTAGGAGTTGACATCTATTAGTGAATCACGTTTACTTTTGAAGGGAATAATTTTCTAGTTTTACTACGTTTACCAACCAAACTCCTGCCTCTGCAGATCACCTTTACTTCTGAATGTACATCCATTGACAGAGAACACAATGTCCCAAGGCAATCCACTGGTCCTTTTGGTCTCAGGTCAAATATCATGTGAGAGAGTATAACCCTCCAACACTGCTCTTTTTACACAATATTAAACTCCCTGAATGTGGCTTCTATACAACACTGTATAGAAGAAAAGACATGGCCATTCCAAAGCCTCCTCAACCTAACTCAGCCTACTATTAGCCAGAACACAGAGTCAAAGATTTACTCTTAGCAACTGGCAACTTAAAAAAGAAAACTGTATCTAAAAGCAGGTTTCTTCATAGCCTATACCTAACCCTACATTTTTAAGCATCAGCTTTGAATGGAAACTGAACCATGTTTCTGTTGGTTTGAGAAGGACCTTGGGGTATCACCTGTCAATTAACTCATTTTTTTCCTCTGAAACATTCTCTTTCCTTGGCTTCCTCTCTTTTTTTTTTTTTCTTCTTTTCATCCTTCAGAGAAAATCTAGTTCAGTGGGATTCTCTCTACCATCAGGGCTCCTGGTCATCAAGATAACAACAGAGTACAAGTCCTTTTGCAGCCCATGAACAGAAACACTATATATCCACACACTACTCAATTTCTACTTCAGGTCTCCTTGCACCTCCATTTACAGATCTTGCCTTCAAACAAACAGCTGAAGAGTCAGTACACTGGACTTCTGGAATACATCTAATGAAGGGATTCTCTCTGCCCTGTTTTTTTTAAGAGCTCCTCCTACAGGTGCCATATAGAATCTCACCAATAGCACCGTAAGTAGTACAACAGGTAGGTTTGCTGTCAGAACTTGGCTATCATGCTGACAGATAACGATTGCTTTGTGACATTTGGAAAGACAGTTTGGCACTGTTCCAGGCTTGGAGCTGACCAGGTGGAAAGAAAGCACGGCTCATTTCCTACTGCTTGACCAATGCCCAGACCACTTGAGGTAAGTCTGCCACATCTTAGAGGGTGGTATAAAAAAAGAAGAGTATAAGAAAAGTCTCACTGAATAAAAGAAATTGAATCTCTTAGTAGCATTCTGTTCTCTGCCTACATCATGCATATGAGTAAATGGCTATCAGCCTTAACAGAGCCTCTGCACTATACTTATTTAAAAGCATAATGGACAACTAGAGCTGAATACATTCCCAACTTTCCTCAGATGTTATCACATTGCTAAAATACAAGGTAATTCAGTTGTCAATTAACAAGATTAAAATTATCAAATTATAGGTGTGTAACTGTTTATGTCCCTGTGGAGCAGATAAAAGCTGGGTATGTTAACTCACCACTTCCACACCATAATACAACTAGATTTCTTTGAAACATAATTCAGTTGTGAATAGCTTGACTGTATAAAAAAAGTATAAAAAAAAGTTAATTTTTTTTTAACATTTAACGCCTAAGGGATTTATGCATACCAGCACAACTCAACATTGAAAATTACTTTTTTCATGAAATACAATGTAATTTATTACCTGAATAATAAAACCCCACACTCTAGAACATAAGGCCATCTCTTACTATTTATTTTTTTTCTAACCAAATGGCAGAATTCCCAAAAACAGTCATTTTTCATATGGGGCATGGAGTGAATAATGTACAATGCACAGCTGGAAATCACATCATCACTGTTTGGGTTCCCTGACAGTGTGTAGCCTCTGTATTACACAAATGATTTCATGTTCACAGGCTATTAGGTGTCAGAGTGGGGGAGGTTAAGAAGGAAATAAGAGTCAGAAGCTAAGTGTTGGGTGTCCCTGATTTTACAAACTCAGCTTTGCATGACAATGCAAATGGGCCTCACTACCACTGTGCACTGATAACTTGGTTTAGGTGTTTACCGTGAAAATCAGCCACAATACATTCCATCAAAGCAAGAAAGACTGTGACACTGTAGGTGTAACTTTATAAAGCCATATTCTTCAGAAATATTCCACACTATTTCAGGGACTTTTTTTCCCTAAACCAGAAAAAGCCCAGCCCACCACACACTTTACACCAAAAATGCTCCAACCATCCTCTCATGCAACTTCCCAACTATTAATACATACCTGCAAAACACTTTCTAGTTTGGTTCTTTCCTTAAGAAGCAAATCATATTCACTGTTGCACGTTCTGCAGATATCATCCTTTTCACTTACAAGCCTTTGCTGTTGTTCTTTCCACCTCTGCTGAGCAATATGAAAAGTTTTCTCAGTCTCTGCCACTTTCTGCTGCAGCTTTTCATTCAAAACTATTGTTCACAAAAGAAAAAACAAAAAGAAATAAATAAAACAAGTAGCACTGAAAAGCCTGTTCACAAAAAAATGTATAATGATTGTCAGTTCTCATGCTTATTGTGATATCCTGTGGAACACTGGAACACTAACATCACCAGCACCAGAGAGGAACATCTTCACTACAAAGAAACAATCAAATTCTGTGTTCCTATAGCATCTTTTGCACATGGACATAGGAATGCTTTAGAGATTTTTATAAATTAAAATTGTTCTTACCTTAGAAAAGAATAAAAATGAGATAACTCTTTCAAGTGAGGTCTCTATAGCATGGAGAATTTAATTTCAGATTTCTACAACATCTGGCCAGATTATTTTCAAATATCTGTTTGCTATAGATATTAGTATTAATAAATTTTGAGCTCAGTTTAAGTGACAGTAAAGATAGGCACCTGCCCCATGAGAAGGACTATAGGAAAACCTAAGGCAGGTTGGGCTAGTGAGCAAACGCTTAACTTTTTCCAAGGAAATTTACTGCTGCTCAATAGATTTAAAACTTCATCCCAGCAAATGCCCTGAGATAGGAGAACACTGCATATACTCTTCTGCAAAAGCTTAAACACTGCAGAAACCTTCATTACCTAGACCTATTTTTTTAACCAGTTTGACTAGGAATTTCTACAAACTGACTTTCAGATTAAAGTACTTTGTATAAGCTTGTCATTTTGCTGGGTACAACTAGCTACATCAGCATGTAAGTGATCCCCACTTGAACAGATTTTTATTTCAAATTCATCCCAGTTTTCTGAAATTTATTCCCAGTCAAAGAAGGATAAAACAAACAGAAGAGGCTCTAAGACTACATAGAGAATTGGTGGACATAATGATGGGAAAGGACTCTCAGACAGCAGAAAGCCAAGCCTCACTGAGAGCAGCAGAAAAATAATTTGGAGGAAATACTGAAGAGGATAAGCCACAAGTAAGGCCTTCTATCTATTCAAGGAGCTAAGTCAGGGTCACAGCACCAAATGAGGTGAAGAAGGCTCCAAGTGACCACGGAAAACAAGTGGTAAATTATAAACTGCAAAAGAATTGAGAAGCAACACCATGATGATTTGACTTCTTTGGCACCTGTCACAGAAAAAAAAAAAAAAAAAAAAAACAGTTTGAAGAATTTCAGCCAATGTAATTTACCATCAGTTAACAGACTTTTAATTACTGATTCTGGCACTGAAAGAAACTAACACAGACACACATTTAGGAAAACATCCCTTGCCTCTGCAAAACCTATTCTACCCCCTTTTTGTTCTATAGTCCCGTCACGACATATGAGCCCAGTGCCTTCAGGGAAGTGACAGGCAGTAGCGCAGGCTGGGGTCACTGTGCTGTAGTTCCTCCATCAGCAACAGCCCCTTCTGAATCCTACCTCTTGGTGACTGCATGAGCAGTCACTACTCTCACCCCAGCCCCCTGCTCAGGCTACTACTCTGCTCCTCTCTCTCCTGCTGTTTGTCTTATCTCTCTCTCCTTTTTCTCTTCAACTCAGCATTTACCACCTTTCTGAAACACATTTTGGCAGAGGTGCCACAAACTCCCTGGAGAGCAGTTTGTCACACAGTGGTGGGTGTGTTTGCCTACTGTGGACCAGCTCCAGGCAGACCCAGATGTCTTTCTTCCTGCAGAGGTTGCCCTGCAGACCTACACCCACCACTGACACCTGCCAGCTGTGCCTGATACAGCAGTCAAGGAGTTTTTAAAATCATAAAGTGAATCACAAAATGAGATTTGACATATTTTAAAATACACACACTCACACACTCTTTGCTTCTAAATTGGCAAGCAAACTAGTAATACAGTGAGCAAGCACAGAAAGAAACATAGGTTTCCTCTAAGTGAGAAATTAGCAGTTCAAGTCTTCAGCTTGCAATCACAAGGGAATTTCCAAATGGAAAAAAAAAACGCCTGCTTCCAGTTTGCAATCCTTAAGATTATTTTTTGTCTGTGTTCTCCAAAGGAGTGAAAAGTTCAGCTTTCTAATTATCCTAAAAACACCTGGTACTTTAAGTATCTGCAAGTTTCAAAGTCTCCTTCCATTCTTGGAAGCATAAAATCTCCACCCAGAGTGCTCTGAATTCTTCATAGAACATCAAAAGCTCAGCAAACTCAAAAACGCATCTCCTGTACTAGATTAAAAAGGTATCATATTTAGGTAGCTAATAATGCACCTCACTTACTTGTAAGAATGAGAAATCTCTCCCTGCTGAGAAGGATCAAGGAAATCTGAGTTTCTGAATATAAAACTAGTAGGAAAAAAATGTCGAGGTAAAAACCTTCCCTTCCACATACTACTGTCACAACATACATGTCCCATTACCTGTAAAAAGAGAAACACGATGATGAGAAGAAACCATACATGAGCAATTAAAATCTTGAAGGACAGAAGCAGTATGATGAGGAATTCTGGGAAAAGTTTTTGGAAATAGTGCAAACAAGTGAACAGGAATGCACTTTTTCTTTTCTATTTTTTCCCCTGAAATGGAAAAAGAAGCACTGCTGGACATAGTGATAATGTGGAGACAACCACCATGATTACAATTCTGTAGAAGGACAGAAATCTTAGAAGTTTACAAAAGCAGATGGATATAAGACTCGAAAGATAAGAGAGATCCAAAAAGAAAAACAGCAATAAATAGAAAATTTAATTAAGTCACTGCTTCTCACTTGTCAGCCTGACTTGGATCTGACTTAGCCTTTGTTCCATGCTTGCTTTTTTGAAACTTACCTTGCAATTCCACAAGTTTGGTTTTTGCATCACTTAACTCCTCTTCTGCAGCATACATTTTCAGACGGGCATCTTTTCTGGCAATTGCCAATTCGTACTCCAGGCTTTGTCGAACAGCTTCTCCTTTCTCAACTTCCAAACGTAATTTGACTATCTGACCTTCATAGTTGGACAGCTAGAAAATAAATTCGTTTCAGAAAACTGGCAACAATGTTCCCTTGAAAAAAATGCAACATTACAGAAATACACATACAGAGTATTTTTTAAAAATATTTTTAATTTCATTTACAGTTGCCTTCTTATTTCACTTGAATTTGAAATATAGTCTTGCAAATGTACATTTATGCAGCTTTTAAGTACTTATACTGGGTTTCATTCCTAGATAAATTACATGTACTTTAAACATACCTCCCCATTCTTCAAAACATACACTACCTTAAGAAAATACAAGTCATAATACTGGCACCTTCCTGCACCTCAAAGGAAATACTGCAACAACAGAAATATTATATTCCACAGGCAATTTTATGGTAACTTTCTTTAAATTTAGCACTTAAAAAAACAGTCAGATTGGGATTCTAAACTATCAGACACCTAATAAATCAAAAGTATACATATGAACATAAATCCAGTCCAATAATGTTCAGTAGTCAAATGGAATGCTATTAAATGTAACAGACAACAAAGAATGGAACATGCTTCAATAAGTGATCTTATCCAGATTAAGAAACATAGTCTAGTCTTTGCTGCCAAAAACTGGATACAGAAAAACGAGTTCAAGCTATCTCAAAACAAGAAGGTGGAAAGGAAAATATGTATTTCTTCAGAACATCTACAAAGTAGCCCCCGACTTCAGTAATTTCACATGTAGGTAACTGGGGCACTTCCATTATCTGCAAGTACACAGTAAATGGATAGGGAAAAACAGTCTCTCAAATAGTTTATCTACTTAAAATGCAACCTGACTTTGTAGTGCAAACCACAACATCAAAATGGTGCAGAAGACCCCTGTGTACCCCTAACTTCCAAATTCTCAATGTAAGAGCTGGTTTCTTTGGGTTTTTAAATACAGACAATTCCAGGGATGTATTTTATAGAATCAGCCCACAGTTGATGGGGTGGTGGGAAAATAAATTAACTGAAGCACAAGAGCAGGTCATTGAGGGAGAAGCAGGATTCTCTTAGTTTGGGTACACACCCAGTAACAAATGGTACAATATATAGAATAATATATGGAACAGGAAGCTTGGTTTATCAGCTGGATTTAGCCCAAAACAGATGCATAAGCACCCACATCAACTGCCCCCAGCAAACTGCTAAGGGCAGAACTGTCATCTATAGTAGTAATCATACTTCTGCACCAGCACTGTTTGAACCAGGATATCAACTGCCAGATTGGCATTAGCAACCATGGGAAATGCTCCTAGTAACATCAAATCCGAAGACCATTGTAACTGCTACTGCAGTGAGTGCCCACCCTTTCTTACATATACTAGTGTGAAAGCTGGTATTCAAGCTAAAGAAAAGATAAAGTATTCTCTTACTACTTCATTTCAATACTAGTTTGCTACAACAGCATCTGGGAAAACCTTTGTAATGATTAGGATGAACCATCTCCCTATGAATGAAGTTCTCATTAACAAGTATATAGTTACTGACAAACACATCATCACATTTGTGCACTGTACATTGATATAATTACTGAAGACTGCAAATTTTCACAAACTGAGACATTCAAGACTGCTAAAGGATATCCCAGCTGGATTTGGTGTAAATGCAGAAAAAAAAATACTGTACTAGGTTTGAGTTATAAATGATTTCTGCAAAATTAAAATGATACTCTAATATCCTGCAAAAAGATATAAATAAGAACCAAATAAGATATTTTATGACGCTAGATTCAAACTGTGGCTTTTATTTATTTGTGTAACCAGAGAAGCTTATCTAACAAACTACTGGTAGTGGCAGTGTCTCCTTTCCAAGCAGAAAATTTGCACTCTGCTTGGTGTAACTATTAACAATGCCAGCAGAGGTGTTAAGAGTTCCTATGAACATGTATGAGAGGTCTGTACAGTGCCACCTTCCTTGTTATTTTTCATCTAATGACTGTGCTTTTGATACACCATGCAAGAGCATTATTGTAATGAAGCAAGATTTATTCCAACAGTAAAACAAAGCAAACAAAAAAGTCCTTACTTCTTGATTGTGTTTAATGATTAAATCCAATTTTTCTTTTTTAGCTTGACAGAGTTTCTTCCTCAGATCTTCAGCAGTGTCCAATTCTGATTCACTGCTATCTTGTAGTAACCGTGACTCACATCTGGCCTTCTGTAAGCTGCAAAATACGAACGTTTTTAAAAAACATGAGTATTCCTTTTAAGTTTTAATGCTCCCTTATTTCAGTGATCAGATTGTGAGCCCAAAGTTCTAAACATTCACTTCAGTAAAATTATGCCACACAGTTATCATTATACTATTGCTCTTTGAAAAAAGGCTTATGTAGAATTGCTTATTGTGCAAGCTATAAGAGATGTAGCAGCAGGAACTTAAAACACATATGCACTTTGGATTTCCCAAAGTTGATTTAAGCATAACCTGGTTTTTATTATTTTTTGTTATCTTTATTACTGATTTAATAAATTTTCAGATGCTTAAAAACCATCATTCCAATCAATTGAATTAGAATGTTTTTGTTTGTCTCCTGTGGTAAGGCTCATTTAACATGGATTGCCATCTCAAAAATACATATCATCAAACAAATAAACATGTATGCAACAAAAATCTCTTTTCCACATTTTTTTTCAAAGATATTTAAACTACACACAAGCAATTTATTACAAACACAATACAAATTAAAGGCTTAGTCCTCTACAATACCCAGTATCTTAATTTCCCCTGCTATTTCAGTTAAAAGAAAACTTACTTGGCAGTTAGCAGGATCAGCTCTTGAGAACTACAAGCAATACTAAAATAATCAAAAAAATCTTTCATACATATAGTGAAAAATTAGTATAAAAATACATATTTAATTAAAATCGTTTAATAATCTTACATGCAATTACTGTAACTTCACACCAGACAACTTTTAAATTATTTCATGACTCAAAAATCGGTTTTCACATTATTTTATATATGTAAGAGTGGCTGCAATAATTAGTTGCTCCACACAAAAGCACAAGTTGTCAGGACCACTAAATATGAAATATGTTGTAAGAAGAAATTATTATATTAACCACAAAGTTGGCATCACTTCATACAGAACTGAAAATACTAAAATAGCCTACCTTTGTCTACATGAAGTCTTAAGTATTAATTACAGAAATTACAGTCTACAGAGATTTAATTTTCTTTTTTTTTTTCTAAATAAAAAACAACCACTTTACCCCTGGGTTTGTGCACTGGCATCATTAATATTTTCCACGACCAAGAACTCTACCTGATGATCTATGTTTTCTCACATAAGTTGACTAGCAAAAAAGACATAAATGTCATCAACAAGAGGAACTGTAATTTAGATTAAGTGTTGCCTTTAAAGACATTACTAATAACAAAAGATGAAATTTAAGTTTTTTAGCTCCAGCCTATAATATTTTATAATTTAATAAATAGTCTTTTTCCATTTAAAAACAAGACTGACTTAATCTGTGAGATCAGAGTAATTGTATGTCATCGGTAATTGTTCCACAGGGTGCCATGTACTTAACACATTTTATATATTTAATAAATGTAGGAGATAAGGATCATTAAAATCTACATGTACTGCAAGAAAACCACAAGCACATTATTAGCTTTCAGTGTTTACTACGGGAGCCATACCCAAAGGAACCAACACGACTCGAAGGGCAAAAGATCAGCAATAAGATAAGTGAAAACACATATCATTACTTCATGAAGCTCTTAACTACAGCAATAAGAAGATACAGTGGTAAATCAAGCAGGAAATAAGAAGGATCTGAACAGCCAGAGCACCTGTAAACTGTGTAAAAGCTTGATGGTGGATAGGTTTTGGCAGACCTTTAGTTTTCCATGGCTAGGTGTCCTGGGTTTGGCTGGAATAAAGTTATTAATCTTCTTCCTAGTGGCTGCTATAGTGCTGTAGTTTGGAGTTAGGATAAGAGCAATGTTGATAACACACCGATGTTTTAGTTGCTGCTAAACAGTGTTTATTCTAAGCTGAGGACTTTACAGCTTTTCATGCTGGCCTGCCAGCAAAGATTGGGACTGCAGAGGCTGGGAGGGGACACAGCCAGGACAGCTGACCCAGACAGGCCAAAAGCATATTCCATATCATACGATATCATGCCCACTATATAAACTGAGGGAAACTGGCTGAGGCACACGGTGGCCTGGGGTCTGGCTGGACATCAGTCAGTGGGTGGTGAACAACTGTATTGTGCATAACCTGTTTTGTATATTTTACTATTATTTTCCCCTCCTTTCCTGTCCTATTAAGCTGTCCTTATCTCAAACCCCAAGTTTTACTTTTTTCTTCAGATTCTCTCTCCCATCCCACTGGCAGCAGGGGGAGCGAGCAAGTGGCTGCGTGCTATTTAGCTGATGGCTGGGGTTAAACCACAACACTGGGAAAAACAGAGATAAAAGAAAGGCAAGTCATCTTATGCAGAGATGATGCAAGAAGTATCAATCTCAACTAAAGACAGCTAAAGGCCAGAGTGCATCAAAGTTAGCAAAGCATGGGATAGGGAGAAAAACAGAACCCAAACCGAAAACTGGGGAAGACTAGGGCAAAGAAACAAAAGTTATAGAAAGGGCAACCATTTTGGTAGCTTGCAGACAGCAGAGAGGTCATTTTGCTTCTTCAAACCTGGTGATATTTAGTAGTTCTTGCATGGAGAGCACACTGAATGTAAACAAGGGCTGAGCACTTTTTGTAAGGTAAATCAAAAAACACCTTTAAATCTTTATTGGCTTGAATGGCAATCAGCTTGCAAGAAAATTATTCCTTCCTCTACTGATGACCCAGGGAAAAAAAAGGCAAAATGGAGATATCTACACAATAAAACTCAGAGAAAAAATAAACTGTATTTTTAACTGTTCTGCTTAACCAGACTAGTGAGAAAAAAGAAAGAAAGAGGAAAAAAAAAAAACAAGTTACAAAACATCACAAGTAATAGCAAACTAGGGACATCACAGAAATGAAAAACGTGGGTAAGAGCATTATGACACAATAGCATAACAGTAACTACTGGGAAAAAAAAGCATTAAGCACCTTTTTAAAATACTATTTTCTGCACAGCTTCTATGCTCACAGTGCCATTACTGAAAAATTAAAAACAAAACAGAAACCCCTATTTTTGTTCTTAGTACAGAATCAAACTGAATCAGCTAGTTATTTAAAAAAAAAAAAAAAGAGGGAATATTACTATATTAACCACTTCATTATTTTATTTGACTACTTAAACATTTTCAAATAAAATCAAGATTGGCCTTAAGAATTCTTCTTTCTGTGATATTTTCTTTAATCATCACAGTGTTGCCAGCACATGCAGTACTTTATAAAAACTTCATATTGCATACTGTAGGAGATTCTTCCTTCCGTATTCATATTACAAGAAGTGCTACAAGCATAAAGCTCTTGGAAGCTTAAAGAAAAGACAAATCAACACAAAATCCCTGGGAAGTTTCACAGCATGTATGATATGAAGTCTAACAGGAATTCAGAGAATGCTTTATACTTCTATTTTCATATATTAGTAGTTCATTAAGCATTGGTTTTTAACTAAAATATGTATTTTGGCAACTACAGCTTTTATCTAAGACACCATTTTTAGCAGTACTTGAATATTCTTCAAGAAAGCATATAAGCAGGTGAAACAGCTTGAGTTTTACACTGCAGAATGACTTTTTTTAATTACTTTAATTTCACATTCACTTCACAAGTCAGCTAGTTACAGTGAATATAGAATATTGTAAAAAAAAACAACAACAACAACAACAACAAAAAAAACCAGTATTTCACTAGCCTTTCTTCCATATCTGGCAAAAAACATATAGTAATTTTGTAACAGAGAGAAATTTATTTTTATTTATTGCCCAGCAGTGGAATTTTGCTAAACTTCCCCAGCTGAAGGAGTAGTCTGTAGTCTAATTTCCAAACCACAGCTCATACTGACTGAATTCTGCTGTTCCTATATAATTGGCAGTTTTGTATAATCAGAGTTTAAATAGTGATAAATAGCTCTCACAGCTAAGATAAATGGAACAAATTAATGCTTATTTTAATTGTGCCAAAGATCAAACATGTATTAGGTTACAAAAAAATAAGAGCTGCGTGCAAGACTTAAAGCCGATCTCTACCACTTCAGCTAATGCAGAAACCATTCTGTAACTCCAGGTCACCGTTCGTAACTGCAAGACAGGAACCTCATTCTTCTCTAAGTCACATCTCCTATGTTCGTGTGAGAATTCTTGCACATAGGACAGCCAGTATGCACACCTTCAAGTAGATCTTTGCATCTAATGACTATATTGACATGACACAGCTTGGATGTATCACACCGTATCTGGTTCTTCTTCAGTCTGAATTACATAATTTCAGGGATCTAGAAAATAAACCACGAACACATGAACCATACTCCTAGACTTAAAAATAAAGAAGTGAAGCTTACCATTCAGCTTCCATGACAGCACAGCTGACTGGAGAGGACAAACTCATGATGTCCTATATGCAGCTTTTCAAGTCTATGAACTCTAGAGAGTGAACATCATCTTTGACCATATATACTTTTACTTGGCAAACTTCAAAGATTACTCTTCTTCCACATCATAAAAACATTAAAACCTGTACAGAGACATGCTTTAGTTTATTTAGCAACATAACAGAAAAATCATTTGTTAAGTCTCACAGCAAACAGTGTTACTACTATGTCATGTGAACAATTACCACCAACAGTAATTTGACATCAGTTTAGTCAACAAAGAGTTACTAGTCAACAAAGAGTTTAGTCAACAAAGTGCTGCTAGTCCTCTGAGCTTGAATATCACAGATGAAAAAAGTAAATACATTTTGTACAGTATCTGCTGCCAGAGTTTTCAGAAGGATGCCAATACAAAATGTTATGTTCGTGTAAACTGTTCCCCTACATTCTCTGTTCTAACTGGATCACAAACTCCTCTTCAAAATAATTCTAAGGGAGATAAATACATGTACTATGATTTTTTAAGTAGGTCAATATCCAAGGTTTACTGTCAAAGAGCAAACATTAACATTGCAAGCCTTCTGTTTCATAAACCTGGGATTTTATACTTGAATGTATTTTTATTGTATTAGATATATCAGCAATATTTAGGACCGTACAGGAAGAACATAAAATTGAACTGTAACTCAGCTCACCTTGGGAAGGAACTAATTTAGTGTTACTGATAAAAAGAAATCAATGCAGATGATATAGTTATAACACAGAACTTTAAAAAACCCTCCAATATTTACTTCAAATTTAATAACAAACTCATTTATGAGTTCTATTAATTAAAGCAAAGTAACATGAAGAATAAGCTGTATGAAACTTTCAAGATTAATGAGCCATGAATGTTTGCGTTTGAACTCCACAGTGGATGGACAACCATACTAAAGTCCAAAGCAAGAAACTAGACTGGACTCCATCTCTACCACCTCTGGCTTGCAGCCACGTTTGCCACAATCTGTTTCTGTTGGACTGAATACAGAAGTACTGGGTGCAATATATTAACTATAAACTGATTTTGTTCATTCTAGTAGCTAATAATCTGCACTAGAAATATGGAGAAGAAAAAAATGCATTTCTGCCTCAAACAAAAATTTTAACAAAACATCCAGCAAGAATAAGCCCATCATTTCCAAAAACTAAGGGTTTTTTTTTTAAACAGAAAACCATAACAACTGGTGTCCAGGGTTATCATGAAGCTTTACATTCAAACATGCAGCTAGTCCAGAGTATCTTCAAAATCAAGTGGAGTAATATGGAAAGAAAAGTACAATGGAGGCCAACAGTTTGCTTCTGTTTATTATTAAATAATACCTAGATGTATTATCTGTGATTTTTAAGACCTACCCATCAGAATTCACCTTAGTACATGTGTTCATAAGCTCCACAACAGGTAATTACCACACAACGGTCACTCTCACTCCTAGAGAAAGCAATGCAGCTTTCTTTCCACCTCAGTTGAGAAAACAGTTGAACACCTCATTTTCAACGCATAGACAAGTCTGTGGTAAAATTGCTAGTCACATGTAAAGGTCCATTAAATCGTTAGTAACTTGCAAACAACTCTAACTTCACAAAAGAGAACAGTCCTGAGAGAGCATTTGTAGTATAGTACATAACAAAGATCAATTGCTTGGATAAAAAAAAAAAAAATGTGATATCAGGGTATGGGAAACTATACCTCTGTTAATTGTGCCCAATTTCCACATTAAGATGTAGCTCTGAGGAACTGAGAAACTAGTTTTTCATACCACCCTTTTAAACTTTATTGCAACCTACACCAAAATATCACCATAAACAGTAGAAAAAAAAAAAAAAAAAGTACAACTAAAAGGCTTTCTTGGAAATCTGTTTTTCCATCTCAGGAATAGAATTCATTAACTCTACCCAACAACCAATAGCTGCAGTGAAAAAAAATTTAGTGTCAAAATGCAACCAAAATGTACTGTCACATCCACATCATTCTGCCGTTTTAAAACTTGCTGAAATTACTCTGAAGTCACATAGAAGAAAAAAAAAATCTGAATAATGTCTTCTGGGAATGCTTATTGTTTTGAATATGCAACATTCCTCCGTTAAAATATGTACCAGAAATGGATATACTCCACAAACATGCAGTTTCGCTTATCAAAAAAAGCATTTAAAGGACATGGAATGGCTCACAGGTGCCCCATAATGAAACAAAACAGCATCTTCATTTGATGGGTGTTACCTACAAAACTTGTGTCATATTCTACTCATTAGTTTCTGACTATGTTTAACTAACTTCAGCGAGGCCACTGATTTTGACTGCATGTTATTTCCAGTGAAGGAGGTGAGACGCTGGAACAGGTTGCCCAAATAAGTTGTGGCTGCCCCCTCCCTGGAAGTGCTGAAGACTGGGCTAGACCGGACTTTGAGCAACCTGACCTAGTGGAAGGTGTCCCTGCCCTTGGCAGAGGGGTTGGAACTAGATGGTCTTCGAAGGTCCAACACAAGCCGTTCTCTGACGGAGGCTACTCAAAATAAATCTAACCATGATCCTAAGATGTATTACTTGAAAAGATACAAAGTCAGGCGTAACTAAGATACATGCACTGGAAGCTATCAAAACTCACCAGCCGTTGTTTCAGCTGACAGAATCCCTAGATTTTCGGTTATGTAGCCCAAAAACTTTATGCGAACTAAAAAAAACAAAGCAACAGTATCACTCTCCTGCGCTGCCACTTGTTTAAGCGCAGACTGCACCAGGCGCTCAGACGGTGCCCCGGGCAAGCCGAAATCTTAGCGCGGCGTGCTGGCGGCCGAAGGGGCGGCGGCGCCGGGGGCGAGCCGGGCGGCACGGCGGGACAGGGCTTCAACGGCGGGGAGCCACGCAAAAACTGCCGACACCAAGCAACGGCGACGAAGCCCCCCACAACCCCCCCTCCGCAGCGCCGCCAGGCTGCCGCTGCTGGAGGGACGGCCCCGGTGCCGCGTCGTGACGGCCGGCGGCCCCCGGGGCGCTCCCGAGCCGCGCGCCAAGCGACCCCCAAGCCACGACAACGCCGACCCCATCCCACCTCTCCTCGGCGGCCCACGGCCGCCCGCGGCAGTAAGGGCCCGGGAAGATGTATGGGGCCACGCCACGCCACGCCACGCCGCGCCGCGCGCAGGGGCCTTCTCAACGGCGTCTTCCGGCGGCGGTGGCGCTGCGGCTCCGCCCACGCCGGGGGGGGCGACGCGCGGCCGAGCGCGCGGAGGTCCCTGGCAACGGCGGCGCTCGGCGCTGGCGGGGCGCTGCGCGTGCGCGGGGTGGAGGCCGCTGGGAAGCCGTGGCGCGGTGCCCGTTCCCCATCGCCCCGGCGGCCGGCGCCGCGGTTTCTGCCACCCTCCTGAGGACTTGCGCCTCATCCAATTTAGGAGTTGCCCCGAGGCAACCCGGGACTGCAGGGTGCGCGCAAGTCGCCTCAGGCAGCGCGGGTTGCCTCCAGCCAGGCCGCACCCTCTGCATTGGGTTGGGCATGCGTCATGGTGCACCCAACGCAGGTTGTGGTGTTGGCCTGCCGAGGGGTCGCCCCTGTGAACGTCGTGACGGGGCGGTTAATGGCCGTGCAGAGGGGAATTGCCAGACACTGCTCTTTGTGGACAGCAGGGTGGCTGTACCCTCCTTCCTAGACGTGCTGGCATGTGGACGTGTTTGCCACTGGGCAACCCCAGCCGTATGTTAGGGATCTGAATCCCTAAAATAGGTAAAGGACAATGTATGTAGAGGAAATTAAAATAACCAATTAAGGTGAAAGAGAGGCTGAGGCTTGGATGTCCTCAAACACAGGGTGGCACATTCACCCAGATTATGAAAAAAAAAACGGGTAATTTAATTTGAAAGACCGTGGGACAAAATCATAGCAGGGTCAATGGAGGAGACTGGTAACAAGGTTACCTATCCCCTTCTGTGTGTGTCACTGCACAAATGGAAAAGTTCCTGTAAAACAACTGAGAAATTACTAAGCCCCAGATGTAAGTATATGTGATGTCAAATAACAACAGCACAAGAGTCTGAATAAAATCCACTCTACAGCATCCTAGGAAAGTGGACAAGGTGTTCTGGGAAGTGTGTCACAGTCTGAAAGGGATTAAAACAATTTTCAGTTAACATTCGCTAACTACCATTGACGTCATAAGTAGGTACGCACTAAGATGTTCAAGTATTTTGAACATTTGAGCATAGTTTTGAATTAACATCATTCAAGTATTTTGAACATATTTTGAAAAAGTAATTTGAAAGGTACATTTCAGATATACTCTTTTAGTGTTGATATGTGACCTGAATTCCCACAGACCATCAGAAATCTGGGTCCCCCTGCATGAGCAAGATTGTATTAAAGCTATCATGAAATACACTTGGGAAAACATTAGTAAAATGGTCTTAAAAGAACATTGGTCTGCATCTGTTGGAGAATGGCTCAGAGACAAGGGTCCTGAGCCCACCGAGCAATTGTATGATCAGAGCCTGCTCTAGCTGCTGATGCTGAGCCTCACTAGGGTTTGCCTGCAGCTGCTCGCAGCTGCTGATACAGGAGGAATGTCAAGGACGCTTCAGCCTTGTGTACCGCGGTGTGTTGAAAACAGGTTAAGGGGAATTAGGAATAGTGGTCTGAGAAACCTAGTGTTATGATAACGGTGGTCTGAGAAACATTGTGTTACGGTACTGTCGTGTATCGAAAACAAGTAGCATGAGAAACTTAGTGTTATGAGAAGCTTGTGCTGTAAACTAATTGCAAGTAGGTGGACCGTGCGAATACGACCTTTAGAGCTTAAGCCAATCAGCTAGTGACTAGTAGGCATAATAATTATCATTGTCTGTATAAATCTATGTACCCTGGACCAATAATCACACACGTTGATTGATGCTCTATCTCCCACACTGAACCCGTCTCGGCGTGTCGTTCGTCCGCGGCTCCGCAAGATGGCTCCCGAACAGGGACCTGCATAGAAGAATAACATAGATGGAGTGGCGGACCCAGAGAAAAAAAAAAACAGCAACGACCGAGGAATTTGAGAACGGACCCGGAGAAACACCAAATACAGCAGCGTCCGGGGTCCACGAGCTGAGACGGAGAGGCAGCAGCCCCAGCAGCCCCGGGGGAGTACGCGGAGAGAAGCCGGCTGGACCGGCCCCGAGAGCCGAGGTGGAGTGGCCCTGAGAGTGGAGGTGACCAGCCCCGCAGAGCAGAGGCAGACCGGCCCCGCAGAACGGAGGTGACCGGCCCCGGAGAGCGGAGGCAGAGCGGCCCCGAGACCAGAAGTGAGTGGCCCCACGAATGGAAGCAGAAAGACACCGGAGCTGACGTGGTAAGGAGCCGACTGCGGCAGCCCCGGGGGTGGACGCGAAGGGACGCCACAGGTGGACACTGAGCGGCCCCGGGGGCGGACGCGAGGGGGCGCTGGAGGCGAGCCCAGGGTGGCCCCGGAAGTGGAAGCGGGGGGGCGCCGGAACTGACGCAGAGGGGCGACGGAAGCTGACACAGAAAGGTGCTGCATACAGCGGCGGCAGAAACAAACACTGGGAAATATCAGAGACAGCAGCGTCTAGCCGAATCAAGTACGATCGCACAGTGGGCCTCCGACAGGTCATTCCGAGGACCTGAACCGAGATAGAGGGTCGCTCTCTGCAAGGGCTGCTGGCAAGAGCTGCACCTGGTGCCTTAGTCATGGAGCATCAGCAACATATCAAAGGGAGTATTTTTTAGTGCCTTAAACAGGGAGCACAAGCCGGCGGGAGTATTTTTTAGTGCCTTAAACAGGGAGCACAAGCCGGTGGGAGTATTTTTAGTGCCTTAAACAGGGAGCACAAGCCGGCGGGAGTATTTTTAGTGCCTTAAACAGGGAGCACAAGCCGGCAGGAGTATTTTTTAGTGCCTTAAACAGGGAGCACAAGCCGGCGGGAGTATTTTTTAGTGCCTTAAACAGGGAGCACAAGCCGGCGGGAGTATTTTTTAGTGCCTTAAACAGGGAGCACAAACCGGCGGGAATATTTTTTTGCTTTAAGCAGGGAGCAAAGGGCCGACGGTGCCTTAATCAGGGGTGGGTCGGCAGTAACGGTACTGTGCCTTATCCAGGGAGCACAGGACCGGAGGTGCCTTAACCAAGGAGCACCAGGTTGACGAGATGGAACAAGAGGTAGCCCTGGATTTATTACAGCGCTTTTTAGAAAAGCGGGGAGTGGATTGCATAAAATCACTCGCGGGTTTAGTAGCATTAGGACGGGTCAAAGGATGTTTTCAGGACCCTAATTCTCTTTTTGATGTCGACGAGTGGAGACGGTTAGGTGATGTTTTATGGGATATGGTAATTGATGAGGATAAAGCTGCAAGGAAAATGATGAAACCACGGCGGGAGGTGGTGAATAATAGTAAGCGGTGTCAGCTTGAAAAGAACCTTGCAGCTGTGGCAACTGCAAAGTTGGGGGGGGAAAGTTCCACTGTTACCCCAGATAGTGAGGCATCCGGATCTATGCTCTTTGACAGTGATCGTATTCCTGTACCATCAACAGGAGGGCCAGTTACAGTTAATGTGAATAGGGAAAGTCCGGAGGCCAGCCCCCCCTCAGTATCTTTAGAGTCATGCCCCCCCCCCACCCCCCCCACCTCAGAGGCGGAGGGGCAGAGGGATGATGGCCCCTCGCTAATATGTAGCCAACAGGAGTGGCGCGAAGTAGGTGATTTATTGTGGGACGAGACTATCACTGGAGGCAATAAAGGCAGTGAAGCACGACAGCAAGGGGTGGTCTGGCGAACGACCGTAAAAGCCCTGAGGGAGATGCCAGCAGAAAAGAAAGTAACTGCTGCTGCTATGGCGGCTGTCGGCGCTGTACCATCTCCACCGGTCCCTGCCAAAACCAACCGTCCCTCACGATGAGCCACCTTCTTCGGGTGTAATCAACAGCTCTGCTCTATTAAGGGCATGTCACCAAGTATTCCTGTTTGCTCCACCGCGCAAGAAGCGGCAGAGAAATCAGGCGGCGCGGGGGTACCGGGTGGAGCGGCGTGCCACCATAAACTCTGCCTGCCCCCCCGCCCTGCGGATTGTTCCGCCCCTGACAGCGCGTCAGCGTCTGGCTCAGAGAGAAAAGCGGCGGCTCTGTCCGAATTAAAACAACAGGGTCACACATCGGTAAGGGACAGGGACAGAGTCCAAGAACTTGAAAGAAAATTACAGAAGTTGAGCTACAGAACAGAACTCTGCATTTACAATTACAAGAAGAGGAAGCGCTGCCGGCAGCCCCCCACACCCACTCCCATCACCTTTATCAGAACCAGCTCTGCTTTTAGCTCAGTCCCGATGGAGTGGGGTGATTCGTGATGCCTTGTTAAAAGTGGACAGGCATGCTGCTGGAGCGTTGGCCTGCCCGGTAGTGACAACGAATGGGGGACACCTGGGAACTCAAGATCACAAAATTCTCCTCGGGGGGTCTGGAGACTCCTTACGAACTTTACAATTCTGAACTGTCATTTGGGTGTTTCAACATCAACACTGGTATCAAAAACTTGTTCATGTAGTGTCAGGTTCATTGTATGTTGTGGGTTCGTTGCAATGTTTAGAACATAGCATGGTGAAACCTGTATTACATTCTGTATTGCATACTCTGTTGTTACAATTGCTGACACTCTTAAAACTGTAAGGATGGTTTTCTTGCTACATAAGACTGCATAAGATTAGAACATGGACTGACAGACTGGTTAAGAGACTTGGGAATTTGGAAAATGGACTGATGATGGTTGCAAATCTACAAAACTTGGAAATTACTGGGTGGCTGAAAGCTTTGTTGATGCATAGACTGGCAATGCTGATTGTCATTATGATTGTCATGATGATATTGGGGTCTGTGTGGAAATGCTTTATGAATGCTATGATTCAAACGTTAAAAGGAGTCTGGATTGTCCAAAAAAGAAAAAGGGGGAAAACCTGGTAGGAATTTTTGGGGGGGGGATCAGGGTTATGCACTGATCCTACAAGGTTTGGACAATCCAGGCTGGGTCTCTGAGCAGAAAACTGCCACGTGGTAATCCTGCCCTTGGGGTCACCTGGAAGGGCAAGAAGGAGGAAGTCAATCTAGTGCTTCCTCCCTGTTTGAATGCCTGGATGCACTAACCATAAAGTAGATTTAGTTTGTTCACGCGTACTAACGAT